ACATTACATTACATTACATTACATTACATTACATTACATTACATTACTACTACTACTACTACCACTTCTTACATTAGTACCACTACTACTTCGGGGAGTCTGGTCTTTCGGCAAGTCTCATGCCAGTCACGTCCTTGGGCCAAGCACCAGTCACGAGGTGTTTCTCCCACCAGGCCCTTCATGGACTCCTAGCAGAGTCTCAAAAGCATGTTCGACAAAGTCAAGGGAAAAAGGAACATCTTCTCAAAAATGATCACAGAGTCATTTTTGTAGGATCTTCAATGAATCTTCAATCTTCCACAAAGTGAGATGGCTTCTCGATCTTCTCAGTATCAGAATCTTTACACAACTTCATTGTCTGGGTAATGAGAGACAAACCTGACACTTGATGGGGCAAACAACATGCCCAATGCCATATAGCATCATGTACATCATAATCCGAGTCCCCTAATACCCTACAGCGTATTTTTTGAAAAAAACAATCTCAACGAGCTTAAAACATTCTTCTCCTCAAGAATCTGAGTATCTACAGCATTCTACAGCTTATATCTACTTAAACATGTTTCAACGAGCTTAAACCATTCTTCTCCTCAAGAACATTGTTTCTCTCCAGGAGTTGCAAGGTGAAGTGCAGTTGGGATCCGGGCATCCGATAGGTGGAGACCACCGATTGGGCACACACCTGGTGGAGCCGAAGCGAGCTGCCACAACGACATCAAGGCGGTGACCATGATGTCCGTACTTGGGAATGATAGGAGCCTATGCCAGGTATATGGATAGGTTCAATATGGATGAATATGGTTGAATACTTGAGGGTATCCCCTCTATTCATCAATCAACCAAGGCCTTTTTCAGGTCGGCGGTGACATGGTCGGCAGAGTCTCCGGTTCAAACCCCTAAGAACTGCGAGAAAGACACCGTCCCACACCGAACTGGATTTCACTTGGAGAAAGTCGTAAGGCCAGGAGCCCCGTTCGTAGCGATGCCCTGGCCTGCTCCGTTCGTCGCGTTCATTCGCTCCGTTCGTCCGTCGTGGTCGCCCGGAACCTTCCGGTCGCGTCGTCGTCTCGGTCCGCCGTCGGCGAGTCGTCTCGGTCCAGCGACGTCAGCAGAGATGCCCTTCCAATCGACGAAGCCACGCAAGGGCAACACCAAAAAGAGCCTCGGTGAGGGGAGAGGACGGACCCATCTGCTGTTTCTGGTTTTTTTTCCTCCAGAACAATGTCAGAGCAGTTGGTCAACAATGATATATATTTTTTAACATATCCTAGAGGTCCTATCTTCTCGACTTTCTGATGCTTCTCGACACTTTGATCCTTCTCGTCCCGCCGTGCCTCTGCCTGCCCTCGTTCCCCGTCGGGGAGCAGGAAGGGAGGCAAAAAGCCGATGAGCCAAGTGCACCACACCACTCGTCGTGAGGACCTGGACGTTGTGAGCACTGAACTCGGCGCGGAACCCGCGGGTGTTCGTGGTTCGTTCCACGCCGGCGTTCCGAGGGTTTCAGGTTCTCGAGGGTTTCATGCCGTGAAAACGGATCGAATGGATCGGTTAGAATTTGGAGATTGGGAAGAAGACATCGATTCGATTCGATCGATGCACATGTGATTTTTTTTTTTTTTTGAGAAGACCATGACACACCCACATCGGGGTGAACTCACCATAACTCGCCAGCATCTGGTTGGGTCTGCGTGATCACAGGCCAAAGCAAACGGATCTTGGCAAGAAAACGATCAGGCAGCCCCCACAAGATTCCCAAGTTCAGTACCAATTGAGGTATGTCCAAGGTCATGACCACCAGGCAAAAAACATACTGCGTTCAGGTCACTAGCTAGCTTCGATCAATCACTTGCTGACTGCAGATGAGCTATGAAAAGGTGTGCCTATCAGATGTTCAAGTATAATGTGAAGACATCTTCCCTCCCAGGTTTTACAAGAAACGCATTCGTACAAATGCTCCAGTCATCGCCTACGCAAAAACATCATTTATCAGTGGTTCTATCCCATACCCCTTACATATCCCTTATTACCTGCTACAAAGAACACTACAGTAGTAGCAAGTGCATCGCTATTAGTAGCTAATTGGCTACTAGAGATACCGCGATGCACCAATAGCCAAGAAGAGCGATGCACCTTTCGCGCGCGTCCCCCGTCGTCGACACGCGATGCACCGCTACGTACTACGTTCGTCGCGTCCGCTCGATCGCTGGCGCCTCACATTGGAGATCGCCCAGCTCGGCATCGCCCAGAAGCCGCCCAGAGCAAGGCCTGTCCCGGACTGAGGTCCCAGAAGGGGGAACAGTTCGAAAGGGCGACCGAAAACATGTGGTTGTGGAGCACTCAGAGGCAGACGAGAGGCAAATCATCTAAGAATCTATATATAAGGTAGGACATCCCTATCTTGGATGAATCTTCAAGTTCAGCTTGTCAAAAGCCAGATGCGAAAACAATTGAAAATAGGAAAGGCATCAAGATAGAGCAGCAAATTTCACTTCTGCCGCCTATGGCCAAGAGCACCAGAATTGCCCAAGCAGCAATATCAATGCCTCACGGCCACACGTCGTTTACAAGGGTTTTACATGTTATTTTTTAGCTGTACAAGCCTGCTCGAACATCTTTAAGCGTGGCTCGAATAAAATTTCGCTGAAGCTGTGTTTCACAGGTTTCCAGCCGGTGGACCACCCGCCACCTTGCAGAACTTGGATCAGCGTTCGGAAGCGCGCCACCGGGACGCCCGCTGGGAGTTGGCCTCGACAGAGGGCTTCACGCGTTCGCGAGCGAACGAGGAGCTTTCGGGCGAAGGAACTGGTGTTCTGTCATAAGCGTGTTACGTAGCTTCTTGCTTCCTACTAGTAAGGCCAGGAGCCCCTGCTACTTAGCGTTGCTGCTAGTAGCGATGCCCTTTGCTCCGTTCGTAGCTTCTTGCTACTAGGGTGAGAGTTCTGGAAAAAAGGAAGAGAATGGCAGAGAAGTGATACAGTTTGTCCAAGAACGTGAGCGCACCTTTTGGTGCATGGGACTTACTGTAGTTACCTGGGATTTATGCGTGCAAGTTTTTGAAATATCAGTTCCATCCAGTTCCAACTAGTTCAACTTGGAGTAATTACTATAGTTTGCTACATGTATATTACAGTATATAACTATTTGGCCTTGTAGTCTTTTCATGCTTCCCACTGGGGAAACGGCCTCTGGACTCTCGACCGGTTCCGCCCAGCAGCGTGCGAGGAAGGCTTCGTAGTCCGCATTGATCAGCCACGGCATCCCCAAGAGTGCACTGAGGATGCCGAAGAATGTGCCCACCAAGAGATAGGAGAAGCGCCAGGAGAGATAGGGACCTGAACGGGCTGATTTCGCACCCACCGAAAACGCTGATTTCGGACAGAAATTGAGATATTCACCTGCGGCCTTCACAGAACATCAAACAACCACTGTGACTTCATCAGTTTCATCTGCGTTAGCGTTTTGGAAGATCCTTTATTTATGGATTTTCTGCCTGATTTGGTGATTGTTCAAACCCTTCGTTTCTTTCCAGGAAATTCAGATCCTCTTCCTCACTCCACCCAAGATCACTGACTACCAATTCAACTAACCAGCTTGGCTGACCACTGCCCAATTTACGCTGCTGGACTGGCAGCAACGATCCCTTTGATCACTCTACGCCGATCCTCTGGTTCCTGGCCTACCACTCCAGAACTGAAGCTCTCCTCCGCCTGGTACTTCAAATGCTGGGCAAAGCGCCCCGAAGTGGCTTCTGCGGCGTCATCCCACCTGACAGCGCCAACACAGGTGCGACGGAGTCGGGCTGGGGACTCGGTGAGAGCTTCGTTTTTTCTCGAAACCTATAGAAGTCTGACTATAAAAGAAGGCTGGGATTTTATATTATAGAAATTTCTACCATAAGGAAAAGATAACCTGTAGATAAAGACCATATTAATATTAATGGCTCCTTAAAATTATAGGAGCAAATAAGAGGAAATATAGACAATTCTAACATCTTGATGGTCCCTTTTGGGGAACCCAGGTGTTGTCCGTTTCCCTTCGTTTGGGGAATTAATTTCTTTGAGGCATTCAAGAAGGACGTCGTCAGGACAAAGGCACAAGGCATTTCGTAAGATGCCATAGATGAAATTGAAGATGCCACACATTGCAAGGCAAATCTGTGGGACAAGCAAACAACATTCAACGTGTGGCTGTGAACAATTGGGATCCTTATGGATTCTTTCAATCTTCCAACTTATCTGCTAGATGTTTGAACGTCATGGGTTGAGTCGATCGCTATTTCTGGGCACCAGGCCACCAACCATTCGTCCTCATTCACATTTGTCTTCTCGTGCCGGAACTCATTCTCATTCACTTGAGCCGATGTGGAGCGAGGTGCAGAGGTCCCGTTCCCACCGGCCCCCGGAAAGCCGACAGGGCGAGAGAGGCGCCAACAGATTGATCTTTCTCTTTCGTTTTTTCAAAAGACTCCGTCAGACGGTTGAAGCGTTGGTGTTTTGGATGAAGCAACTAATCTTGGATATTCTCGATTTTGGACGTTTTGAATGGCAAACCATGGCACGCCTCAAAGCATCTTAAACCTATTAACAAGACAGCGCTCGTTCAAGTCCACGCCTTTCAGTTCACCCAACCCTCCAGCACATTCAATCACATTCTCATCAAATCTGTACTCCCCTTCGACTCCCGTCCAGTGCCTTGCACTTCTGGTTGTTCTTCTATAGTATTCATGCAGCTCAAAAAACGACACCGCCACCCTCCCGGCTTGTGGAGGGGCCAAGCCGTATCCAACCGCCCACCGTCCTGTCCATGCGCAGCTCACTCGGGAATGCGCCTGCACGGCAGCACTGCCGTGTCGCGACGCTCGGACATGCAAATGGCCTCAGCCGCCGCTCGCGCGCCGCGAGCCTGCGGCGGTTCCCGGACGAACGGTTGCCGTGCGTCCCGAATGCTTCGTAAGGTGCCGGGGGGACGAAGAAGTTCGAACATCAACGTGCAATGGACTGAAGACATGTTTCGTTTTTTGGTTTAAGCTTCTTCAAAAAAAATGTCACATTTCGACGAATTCAATGCCAGGCGCACCTGCACAGGATCTGCAGCTTTACAGGACTGGTGGATTCGAACAATGAAACACACAGCAGTGCCATGAAAGATTCTGCTCCGAATCAAAAAACAAATCTATTTTCCCCCCATGAACTGAGCGGCATCCCAAAAGAACATGCCACCGGTGAGGTCGCATGTGATGCCGCCGGGGCAAACCCCCCAAAACCTCCCATCAACGAGAAAGAGCGATGTTTTTGGAAGCGAAGTCGGACTTGAGAGGCCTGGAGTCTGGAGGGTGAAGGAAAGCTAGCCACTGCGAAGCAAGAGCGACGCCAGCTAGCTGAGGCTAGCTTTCGTGATCAGCTGGTGAGTAGGTGAGGCAATCTCATGAGCCACCATGGGGATTCTTCTCCACAATGCTGTTTGATCTTTTGGGAATTAGCGGATGAAGATGATGAGGATGATGAGCATGAGGCAACTTGGAAGCTGGAAGGGTGAAGGAAGCAGTGGTATGAGGTGATAGGCTTTGCAATTGCTCGGGTGGTAGGTATGAGAAGAACCATGGGGAATAGGTATGAGAACAACCATTGTAATTACCACAGACTTTGGCTCATCAGCGCATCAGCTTGTTTCAGAACATCAGCTCATCAGTCCGTAAGCAGCAATGATTGGTGCCATGGGGGCAGTGGTGCCATGATGAGTGGCCTGGTGATGTACATGAAGAAGATGATGAAGGATGAAATCATCCAATCAGTGGATGGGCTTCATGAGAGCGTGGGCACCATTGAGGTGAGGTTGGAAAAGGACACGACTCTCGTCTTACAAGGCTGCGGCCACATTGGGATTTCACTAAGAAACGGTCAGGGGGGAAGGGGGGAGTTGAACCCTCGGAGGGGGGTCGGGGCCATTTGAGATCTGTGAGGTGCCGTCCACCCCGTCAAACAACTTGCTCAAGCAGCGACTCCAGCTAGCTGAGGCTAGCTTTCGTGATGTTTGACCTGTTGATTTCTGGGACGGAACACCGTGCTCAGCTTTGGATCGTGAACTCTGAGCCGCCCATCGAACTCCATCGAACGAAGGAAATGCGGTTTTGGGCTTCCCATGCACATTCAGCTCCATTGCTGCCCTCCGAAGGGTCTGCGCCGTAGACCTTTCAAGAGTTGCAAAAAGGACAGGGCCCCGGTCCATGGACCGGGAGTGGATCAGTTCTTGAGCAGTTCACCCTGTTTCAACATGTTTCAACAACATAGTGGGGTCATGATGTTGCACAATTCATCCAACACACAACACTCAACTAGACTCAACGCATGTCTATATATGTGTGCTCTTCCTTAAGCCCATTGGATGTGGGGACGTGAATTGACCTCTATTCTTTGGAAGTCTTTGGAGCACTACTGCTTTGTCAGCAAGCCCGCTCTGTTTTGCTCATCTGCTCGTGGCTTTCGGCACAGGTGTAGATACCTTAGAACTTTGATGCCCTTCAAAGGGTGCGGAAAAAAGACATGAACTCACCAAACGCCGCAGGACACGTCGAGATGCAATTCATGCAATTCATGATCGATTCTTCCGTCGCCGATAGAGAGGTGAACATCTGCAAAAGGTCAACTAACGCTTGGAAGACCTCTGCAGCTTGGAAGACCCTGCAAGCATGAAGACATATGTGCTGCATACTATGCTTGTACGAACATGCACTGGAGTCGAGTCTAGTGGGCGGAAACGATTTTTTTGCGCAGCAGTAATATCTGGTTTGGGAACATGCAAACGAAACACGCATGGGAGGTCAGTGTGCTAAGGTCTGAGGCGGTCTGATTGCCAACACGGTCAGAATGTTCTTCCATGTTTCATTCTTTTTCCTTGCACAGGAGAGACAAATATGGATACATGGGCCAAATGAGACAAATAATCCTAATATTACTAGTAACAAGTGCCTTACTAGTAGCAAGAAGCTAGTAGAAAGAAGTGCCACGCTACTAGGAACAGGTGCCTTACCATCCGGTTCTTGGGACTTTTCTCACTCAGATGGTGATTCCATCTGCGAACGACTTCCCACCCTGACTCCACGATGCGCTTGGGAGGCCGGTGCTGTGGCCCAAGGATCTCCGTGACTCGCCAAATCAAACCTGCGCCACCATCGACGATCACCGCCGTCTGAAGGGATCACGGGATGGGATAGGTGGCGTCGTGATTCCACGTGATTCCACAGGTCTATATATTCAAGGACCTGCTTGGATTGATGGGTTCTTATATGTAGTTCTTCTATGTTCTTCTTTGTTCAAAAATGGGCCAAGGAACAGTCAGGCTTCTGTTAGGCCCGCTTCTTTTGCATGCGCCAGCATGCTTCTTGACCGCTTGACATATAGTTTGACATCCATTCACATCATTCACAGTCGAACTATGTCTGAAGCTGCGGTCGGGAGGCAACAACCCTTCTGGCTCTGGAAGAATCGTGGTATTCACCTGGGCGTGTTTTCTTTTCTTGCGAACGCCTGGCTTTCAAAGGCTCTTTGTTTCAGTGAACTCGAGTACAAGACCATCACCTCAACACCTCGCCACTCGCTTGGGACTTCAACATGTTCTGAGTACGCAGCACTCTCCCAGTCCACGCAATGTAAATATTGCGGCTTCCTTTTCGGCGTCACCATGGCATAGAGCCCCCCGTGTGCCAGGACTCGAAAGACTTCCTGGACAACGACGGCCGGTCCCGGAAGCGTCCTGGGTGGTCACGTCATCACCGACCTGCTATACCGGCCATGCGCTCTTTGCTCCAGTTTTGGAGCATGGACCGTCCACGATTGTTTGAAGCAAGACATCTTTTAACAAGAAAAACCACGCATCTTTCTGATGGTTTTTCACGACTTGGCAACGCCCACTTCCATTCTACGCCCTCTACATACCGGGTCCTTGAAGAGGCGCTGCCGCAAATCCCGGGACTCTCTCGTGCGGGCGCGGAATTGCCTTCGACGACCGAGCGAGACAGCGAGGCTCGGCTCGGTTTGAGGCGTAAGATGAACAAGAGACGCGCTTAGGCCGCTTAGGTGTGCAACATGGTACAACATGGTGGGTATGGTTTGGAGAGCTCATTCAATCAAACCGTGGCACTCCCATCCGTCCAATCTGAGTGGCAAAGTATCTGCAAGTCCCTTGTCCACGACCGCGTCGACCGAGTCATTCTGGAAGAGTGGCCCTTGGATGCTTTGGTCGAGGCCACGTGCGCCACGTACGCCAACAGAGAAACAAGTGATGTTCACCTATAACATGTGACGATGTTCTGTTTTGGTGGTTTTGGGGAGGGACCTGGATGGACACGGTATGTAGATCCAGCTCGGTCTCTCACTCTGGAAGTCCTATTTATCCCCTAGAAGTCCAGTTCGACTATATTTTGACTGACTGAAGTAAAGGACATTCCTAGACTCGTGTCACCTAGTCAGACCATTCTTTTTATAGTCTTTGACTCCCAGGGTATCGTTATATTTGACTTTCTTTTCTGAGCCATCTGTGCATCCAAGCATCCAAGGTTTGTAGCATCAGCTCTCACAAACTGGAGAGAAGGCCTTGACAATCCCACAAGCGCGGACAGCTATTACATGCAATTATGATGTTTGCTCTATGACTCTATGACTCAATGTGCTACTGCTACTGTTTGACAGCAGCTGTGGCACACTAAAAACGGTCTCAAAATCCCCAAACAAGCAACAGTTCGCAACAGTTTACATAGTCCGAAGAATCTTCACCTACAAATAAGCTGACTTTACTACTGACCCGATCCAACTCTATAGATCAGGTCATCAAAGCCGGAATTGCTTCAGAGGATTTTGATCTTGGCTTGGTCTCCCAAATATCATATTCTCATGTGTCTCATCCGTTTTCATCCGCTCTCCTTTCCACCATGTTCCAATAGTACACCTTCACCCGCTCTGGTTTTCAGTACTGGCTGCCAGGTGCAAGCTACCCCTGAGCTACCCCACCAACGACTCGAGCGCTCTGTGGTCTGGAGCGCCTTGGAGGCGCGCTGGAGCGCGGCCTCGCAGATGTCCACCGCCACCACCGAGGCACGGCCATCTGGGGCGCCGCGCGGATAGCGCGCCGGGAGCGGTGGAGCCGTGTGGGTCGTTCTGGTGGTGGGTGGCGCGTTTCTGGCCTTTTTTTTCTCATTTTTCTGGAGGTCAGGGTTGAGTCACGGGTAACCAATGGGATGATGGGTTGTGGGAGCACAGTGGCACATTGGCACACTGGATACATTAGCAGCCTCTGCGGATGCAGGTCGAACAGCAAACACATGCAAACACTGCTTGAATGACGGCACTTCTGACTGCGATCATCAGAGAACAAACATCGAACATGTCTCACGGACTTCGGACACCTCCCAGTGTCGCAGCGAGATGCTGTGCCAAAGAGCTATCGCCACAGCCAATCCTCAGCTCGGCCGTGAATTTTCGGCAGCGCCCGGGCCGAATGAGGGCCGAATGGGCCCTGCGCGAGACCTCTCACTCGGTGAGACGGTTCGCTGCCTTTTTCGATGTTTCCCACGTAACTACAGACCTTTGATGACTGTACACGGACTTTTTCTTGACGGGATCCGATGTCACGTCCGACATCTTCCGTGGTGACATCACGTGGTCGGCCAAATGAATCCAAATGACCAAATGCGAGTGCTCATTCTCACGGTACTGACATTGTTACTGTGAACTGCACATGCGTCAAACCGAAATCAAGAGACTCCAATACCGTCTCTGGCCGCGGTTGAAGAGCCTAGAGCAGCAAACGTTGAGCAAAAGATGCAATCTTCTTTATGACGACTAAAGTTGAAAGCAAAAAGACGTGTGCAAAACATAAAGTTACATTGCCGCGCCGTGACGGTGCTTTCTCAGGGTTGTTTGTTTCATCTCTTGTTTCCAATGTGTTCTTTGAAAAGAAGTTCTTCTCACCCGAATTTCACCACAGCAAGTGCTACAGCCTCGGAGAGAAGCGGAAGAATCGCCGAAGGCGCTGCAATCCACTCTGTCTCCTCAGCAAAAAGTCATCAAAAAGGAGAGCAAACGTGGAGCCAAGAATGAGCAAACCAAACCATCACACAAAGAATACTCGTTCTTCACAAGTCACGGTCCATCACGTTGCATCGCGAAGCATGCCCTTCCCCGCTCCCTCGCTCCCTCCTCTCTCCCTCCGCTCCTGTGCTACTCGCTCTGGTGAATAAAACCTGAGGGATCGCGGCAGAGGACCACGACATGGAGTCTTTACCCCATTCCGGACGCAGGGTGGCAGTTGGGGTGGCAGTTGGGCTGCTTTGGAATCCAAAGTCAGAGGGCAGAAAATGCGTGTCTGCATGTGTATCTCTACTCAATCATTGCTCATGAGATAGTCTTTTGGCCTTTTGGAATGAATGCAAATGAATGCAGCTCCCTTTCGACTTGTCACTGCAACAAAGGTTTCTCTGCTTAACTTCCTGGTGCGCCTGGTGAATCTGCCAATTGATTTCTGCTCAGGTGATCCCGCACAAGTCGTGGGTCAAGGTGGCTGATGAGATCAAGCTCAAGCTAAATCATCTACAACTCACATCTTGGGACTAGTCCATACAGCTTGAGCTTTGGGACTAGCTTTGGGTGGAATCCTTTCTCTCAATGGCCTTCATCCCTCAAATTCCAACCTATCCCAAATATACCGCTTGATGATGTCACTACAAAATGCTTAAAGGATGTTAAAGGAAGAAGCGAACCGAGTTCACGGAGCAACGCACGGGCAAATTACTACTGAACGGAAGCGAAAAAACAAACGCGAAACCCAACGGAGGGAGCAAACAACTCCATCCGACTTCCCTAAACAGGCGACCTCCGGATGTCACCGGATGTCACCGGATGGTCATCGGATCCGGTCTCACCACTCGGTGGAACCGACGGTGGAAACCGAGGAAAAAAGGAGTTCAGCATCCGGAGCCGACATCCGGAGCCCAACACCACCAAAGAACCTGCGTTCCACACCTGGCAGGTTGGGATTTCTCATGGACTTCGGTCTTCCGGTCTCCGACCGGTCGTTCCGGTCGAATTCGCCATGGCACCGCTCCCAAAAGCGCGCCGCGCGGAAGGCTTGTCCACCCAACTCGCCGGCGCGCAGCCAGCGGTGGCGTCCTGACCAGTCGGTCACCAGGAGACCTTCGTTGACCTACCTCGACGGTCGTTCGCTGCAGGTAGAGTATACGACCCAACCCCATAGGGTGTAGGACTCATGTCCGATTTCGAGGGAAAAGAGTCACGGCATCGAAGCCAAATTCCTTTCGGCCCGTGGTTGCATCTTTGGGAGTAGAAAAAGACGTGAACAAAAAGACTCCAAACAACAATCCCGTTCTATGTTGCATGGAGGGGTAGGACCCCCTCAAAATAAAATAGAATCAGAGTAAGACTCCAAACAACTATTTTTCAGAACCCCCCGAATGGTTTAGGGCTCTGTCCATTTCTGACACCTCCTCGAAGTCTCGGGCTTCGGTCCATAGCAGGTCACACGCGTTGTCCGCAAGACGCCACTCCTGCCGCATTGGACAGAACATCGACGTCCGATTTCAGCAAAAGTGTGGGATCTTGTCACCACTATGGGTCAAATCATCGCAACATGCACCATCTTATCACCATGTTTTTGGACATGGCCCATGATCTCTAGAATGTAATGGAGAATGGAGAAGTTCTGATTCACTTCTGAGAACGCCGTTTTTCTCTTCTGAGCCGTTCCTGAGAGTCCAAGCCAACGACCTGGTTGTCCCCACGATCACCTCGTCCCAAGCGGCCCGGTGCGCCGGACCGGATGGAGCCCCGTGCGTCGGACGTGCCGTGGCCAGGAAGACACGTCGTTCGTCTCGAGCACTCCAAGTAGGACTTCGTTCGTTTGGTTATCCAAAGAAGGGCTTCGTCGAGATTTCTTCAGCAACTCAAGACAAGCATAGGAGTCAAGAGAAACACACATGCATAGCAGGATTTGTAGCATGGAAGAGCCACCAGGGCTGATGGAGGGTAGGGTGAGCTACCAGGACCTCAGGCTTCTTTTGCGACGCCGCGACGCCCACAAGTTCACACGCAGATTCCAAGACTTCAAGTGGGAACCAAGGCAGAATCAAAATCAGTTGCAAAGATGACAATCCCTAGGGCTCCAAGTACCTTCTAAGAAGGTGGGACTGGGGTGGGTTTAGAGGGTCCAGTCATACCTTCTGAGGAGGTACTTGGAGCCCTAGGGAATAACTGGTCAATCCTCGGCTCATGTAGAGAATGAGATGAGACCACGTGGGTGGGAGTGGAGCGCCCATGTGCTGTCCAAGACACAAGAAGGCATGACCAGCGCAGCGCCCATTCTCGCAGCTTCTTCTTTGGGTCATGGCTCTTCATGCGTCCGTCGCAAAGGAGCACACACGCAGGTATCGAACAAATGGTGCATACTTTTTTGTATATAACACCACACACACACACACAGGTATCGAACCATCGCAGGTCAGCTATGATTTTTGTTCAGCTTTGAGCAGCAAGACTTCTTTGACCAAGATAAAACAGCAAGTACTCAGCAAGTTTCACGCATGCTGCAGCAAGAACCGCATGCCCCGGAGCGGTGCCTCGTACATGGAGTAGCATGGTGCCAGTGAGTTATCGGGAAGTTTCACCTGAAGTGTAGATCAGAAAAACCAGCTGTCGGTCCTTTCCAAAGACTGTCACAAGCATTGCTACATGTCAAAAGCAACTACCGAACATCGGAGATCATGGTCCAAGGTCCATCCACTGGTCCATCCATGTCCATTGCAAACTTCACCCTACCAATTCGCAGTCCACGTTTGAACCGTTTGGCTTTTCCATTTGGCATCCGGTTTCTCTCTTCCGTCTCTCTACTCTGGCCGCTGTTGTACCTGTTCCACCGCTTCCGCGTCCGGTGCCGTCCGTCCGACCGTGCGTCCGCAACGCGGCCGGGCCGTCCGTCTTCTCGGACACCACGCCGATTGCGTCAGGATCTTCGCCTCCACGACCTGCGACCGACGCACGGGAGGCCGGGTGATACCCCCATCTGACGTCGGGTCGTCACACGTGGCCCGAGAGCTACCGGAGCGGAACATAGAGAGACGCGAATGCGAAGGTTGCAGGCCATCGCAAGTAGGTTGGAGGCCATCGCTACTAGTTTTGAGATGGTTCTTCATCTTCAAGTGAGGAATAGAGCATTTTCGATTGCAGAGTCGACTCCTATTAAATCTATATGGTATTTATATATAATTTATTATGTTTTGTTTTAAACAAAGCAAAGCAAACCCAAAAATCTGAAGACTTTGAGTTTGATACAATTTGACCAAATTGGAGGCTGATATAGGCCAGGCGGATGTTTATTGAACTCACGGATATTTCACCAAAATATACCAAGATCATGTTCGACATATGTCGATATCATTCGACCAATAGGTCAACAGCTTTAGCAATGACACATTGCATGTCACACCCAAAGAAATGATTCCTTTGGCCTCTGGTGAAGAATATTTTTCCTTGCATCCAACCCGCGTATTTTGCGCGCTTTGCGCACGGTAAATCGATATGAATCGCGATCTCCACACCTCTGCAGGGTTTTCGGCCATGTCCATACTCACCTCTGCCGACGGACGGCCATTCGTAGCGTCCGTTGTAATCCGTCCTGTGCATGAGCAAGTGTGCAATTTGGCTGGCCGGCTTGGTCCCTGCAGCGTGCCTGCTACAAGGTTTCATGAAAAGAAATAAATTCGGTGTACAGTATATATCTTCAAAGGGGCGACCAAATCTAACCCAAGGGGTTTTGATAGGGTCTTGGCCCATTGGCCCATTTTCCTCCTTCCAAAGCCTTCCAAGACGGATGGCAACCGAGGACGACTGCCCTCGTCGACCGCACGGTCCCACACGGGCCGGACCGCCTGGCCACAGTCCCTGCGCACGAAGCGTCCCGTGGTCCATTCGGCAGCGAGGCTTCCTGGAGAGCATCGCATGGCATCGGTTGCGCAGGTGGAGCAAAGCCTGTGAAGCCGCCTGTGAAGCCGGTCACAGCAGAAGCAGATTCACTCGACTCAGATGATCGTGTGTGTTTGCATGTGAACGTTCAAGTCTTTAGCACGGCTTGAGACAACTAACAGCAACACGGAAGCCCAAGGCTAATGTCCTTGGCTAGCATCATCATTTCTGGCCATCCTTGGTTCTGAATCCCGACTGAGATTTCCCATCGCTCGATTGCGATGTTCGAATCTGTGTAGGTACGAAGGCCCAAGCAGCTATCGACCCCGAGTGCAAGCACTATTATTGGCCTGTAGACTAGACTCATTACAGTATCAGTATCTCATTGTAGGAGCCTTTTTTCATCTCCTTTCCATAGCTGTCGAACTTGCCGAGCGGCGTTGGATCATCTTCACCTGCAGCTATGAAAACGCGGCCGATGGCCATACATTGATTACACAGAGACTCCATGAAGTCGAAAACATGATCTCAAACAGATCAACAGTCAGCTGCCAGAAAAAGCACCAGTGGTCGGGTGAAAACACACGAAAAAACACCAAAAAAACAGAAACATAAACCAACGTGATCGACTGGACCTCCTTCTTCATGTGTTTTGGGTCTCTCCTTGTTGCCTTTGGGTCTCTCTGGGCCCCGACTGGGCCGTCGTCGTGGCTTGTCGCCGGGACGGGCCTGACTCGGGGGTCCGACCATGTGGCGAATGCTTGGAGCATCCAGTTTCACAGATCGCTAGCTGCTGTACAATAGCACTTGTTCACTTGTTCGATGATGAACTCCAAAGAAAAGCATGGCTCACATCAACTTGTGGTCGCATCCTTTTTGTTCGGCACCGTTGAATTTCTGAGGGACTTTCCATGGATTCCCTATAACTGGAGATGACTCTATCCAAAATATACACCCTAGAAGTCCAAAGACTATTGATTACCCAAAAAACTCTATAAGTTGACCGTTTTAAAGCACTGGACATTCGAGGCATGTATCATAGATGTCCAGATTCTGACCACCTCGACTGCTGTTCCAACACTCTTCCGCCGCCTCCGTGCTCTGCGACCGCGAGCGCTGCGGCGATGGAACCTGCCTGTCCCGGCCTCGAGCGGCAAAGGGACCGGGCGGCCCTGGTTCTTTTTCAAGACAGGCGGGGGGTACACACAAAAATAACTCCTTGTTCAGTCTCGAAGTCTGAAATGTAATCTACTAAGAGTCAATCTATATACGTCAATATGATTCATTATCTCATTAACTTGCTTCCTTCATCATCTTTATTTGTGAAGCCACTTGAACTTGAAACTTATCCTTCCCGCACTCTACCAGAGTCCCTCGCAAATTGCGACCTTCTGCGACGAACCATAACCATATTGACAATATGCGACCGGCCTCGTGTAGGAGGGGACACATGGCTAATTGCTGGTGCAGCACATGGCACAATTTTGCAGTCTCCGTGTCATGGCTGCCGATGCTTCTCTCAACTGAGCAGGAAACCAACCATGGTGCACAGCGACAGAAATTCGACCGATTCGAGGTCAACGACCGGACATGTGGTGGAACTGGAACTGGGCATCCCCGCTCACGGAACTACGTCTTGACTTCACCTGAGAGGCGGGCGTTCCGAGTCTGCGATCGGACCTTTTAGCAGCACTGAAGAGGTGGGGTTGTTCCCGTTGATACCTCCGAACCGGTTGAGAGGTTGAGAGAGAACTAGGACCCTGTAGTGACGGTACATATGGGATGGGATATAAGGCTGTTCAAGCTCTCTTGGAATATCTAACTATAGGTTGTAGGCAGTTGCCTGAGAGAAGGTCATTTGCAAGGGTTTTCTCACCTAATTATGGGCTATTTGATGCTATTTGCATGCGGAATATTGTGTCCGCGTGGTGCAGCCAACCACTGAAGCAGTGAATTGTAATGGATGAACTTAAGCAAGTGTGAGGATCTCTTCCATCAGTGTCAGCATGCAGCCGGCAGCTCTGTCTTGAGAAAAGCATATGTCTACACAGTCCTGCCAGACCTTTGCCGGACTCAGCACCGCTACGCAGCTACTTTGGGATCCCCGCAGCTTTCAGTTCGATGCAAAAGCCTAGTTGACTCGCCAGCTGCTCAAGCGAGACAATCCAACTTTGTTCGATGCAGCCAAACGACACACTAAACACCAAACGTGAAAGTGACTGACAGCTCGATCACCGCGTTCCGCCAAATCTGACATGAGTCTCTACCACAAGCCACAAGCCATGGCATCCATCAACTACTGTTTCTTGTGCCTTGGGTACGAGGACGCAAGCCTGCGCGCGACACGAACACGGCAAATGCACGATTTCTTTTTTCAGGTGACGGTGCACAAGGGGCGCAGGGGCCGGAGTGGAAGAACAGAACAGACCCTACCAAGGAGAACATGTCCACTGGTCGTTGATTTCAGAATTCCAGAAACTGCTAGGCGAAGGCTCAAAACAGTCCACATCATTCTAAATCCATCCTCACACGCAAGTTTACTTGTTGCCATTATGGATCGATGTCCCGATATCGACCTTTTTTGCACATGACCCTTGCGCATGCTGCTGCGGCCTTCGTTGAAGGTATCCAGAACATTCTCCGGCTGTGCCTCAAGAGAATGTCTCTCGGACTTCCTCCTCTCGTCTAAGATAGGGACGAGATAGGGACGAGAACGGAAGGTTATGTCCCGAATTCAGTCCAACAACTCGAGGTCTCTCCCATCAGTGACTGCAACGTCTCTAAGAAAACCAGGTGTGGGATGATTCCACACCTTAACATTTCTAGTACGTGGATCAACATATGAATTAAACAACTCTAGGGCCTCTAGGGTGAGTAAAGATCCAATCACTCCAGTGACGTGACCCGACGTGACTCCTGCTGTGACTCCCTCCAAACCCGACTGGGAAACCCCGCCTCGGCGACGAAGTCCCCGAGCTCGATGGGTCCACGGAACTCCTGGAAGACGACAAGACCGAAGCGGATCGACCCTGCAGGGATCGCAGGGAATCGCAATCCGAGCTTCCAAAGGTAGTGCAACAAATGTATACATCTAGAGCTATAGTGTGTATGTTCTTTTTTCAGCTGAACTGGGAGCTGCTGAGATACCCATGCAGCCATGGCAGGGTGAATCTGTGGCACTGTGGGATGTTGAGGGACGACCCGGTGTACCCGGTCTATGCAAACGATTGGCCCTATTCCAATTCAATACCCCAAACCGTTTCAAATCCTTCGGTTGAAGGGTCGTGCGATGCCACCGGCACTCGAAAAAAAGGTTCCCACGGGCGCCACCGTGGTTTGGATGCGCCACAGCGCCATCGAAGAACTATCCGTGCCAGCTCAACAAAGCGGTAGCAGCAGCATTTCAATGGTGGCAGAACGATGTTGACATTGTGGCAGAAGGCCCGACATGCACCAGTTGACCGTTGTCATGGGTGCAAATGCAGCAAGATTGCAAATATATATTATACTAACTATATAAATATATATATATCCTATATACTAACTCTATTGCATGTTTTACAAGCTCTAGAATGTAGAAATTTCTAGAATCTAGATCCATCAACTTCCGAGCTTCCGCCGCCCTGACAGTGCGTTCTGCCTCCGCCAACAAAATCGCCCAACCCATGAAACTCTGCGACGTACTGTCTGTGCAGAGCCCCTCAGCCACCCTGAAGCAGCCCTGCCATTGCTTTCTGAATCATCCGTTGCCCTTTTGCTCCTAGTAGCAGTAGCGTCCTTGTTCCTGTAAGGCCAGGAGCCCCTAGTAGCGTCCTTGCTTCTAGTAGCGATGCCAATCCGATGTCGCTGATCTTCATTCCATCAAAACACACCAAAACACACCAAAAGCCAATGACCGCAACCCGTCTGAAACCTTCAGAAGCGGGCGGTCCTGGTTGAGACCTTCACGGAATTGGACAGGCCTGGAGACCCAACCTGGCGGTCGAAACGAGCCGTCCGTCTGGCGGAAGAGGTCTCTGCACAGCTAAGTCTTAATAAGTCACATATTGTCACATAGCTGGTCTCATGTCATGTCTGGTGTCTCCGACGTGATCTGAACTGCTGCTGGAGATGAATCAATCCAGGCTACTAGAAGATGCTACGAGTAAGTACTGCATGTACTGCTATCAGTCTTATAGTAATGAATCCTCATCACCGTCGGTCGCCGGTGTGCCCCCGGACGATATTCGCCACTGGTCTCGGACACCACCACATCTGTCCCAGTCTCACCTGTGCATCGTTACATTGTTCTCCAAGCAAAGAACGGCAAGAACGAAGTAAACAGGCAAGGACATATGCAAACCTAGGCTGCTTTTTGCGATACATCATGCAATACCTCATGCAATATTGCAACACTGAGTCCAACCATCAGCTGTGCTGGGCCGATGCCCTTCGCCTCGCCGATGCGCGATGCGCCTCGCCTTCGGGATGCAAACTTTGTCGCACTTCCACGCTGCAGCGGCCCACATGCACCAGGACCTGCACGTCGCCACAGCTGGTCGAAGTGCTTTCCCACCACGCAGCTGGTAGAAGTGCAGTGCAAAAAGCAACATTGCAAAGGCTGCACATTGCAAAGACATGTTACTTATGAAGCACAGAACATGCGAAAAGAATCGATCTTGCCGAAGCAGTATGGCTCTCCATCCGTTTGTCAATCCGTTCGTTAAAACAAACCTGCTACACCGGTTTGGGACATCTGTACGTTCGTCCTTTCTTAGCCAAAACCGAGGGACGGGGGGGGTCTCCCTATTAAAACACACTGACTTTAGCCTATTAACACACACATTTACTACGAAAAAGGTACTCATCTACCTCAACCCTCCGTTTTCGGGGTGTCCTGGCTGGACTACCCCACACTACCGGCCGTTCGGCTTCCAGACAGGGCACCCCGACTGGAGGGTCCTGGTATTCTATTCTCATAGCGTCCACATGCACATTCTTCTTGGAGCATCGCATCGCTCTTTGACCGGATGCCGACCGGTGTTCGGGCACGGCCACGGCCACGGCCGGTTCGGGCGGTTCGGCGGGTTCGCCTCGCAGGACACGAGGGCATCAAAGATGAAGCTGAGCTGCCACCTTTGCGAGTCATTCGTTGTGGTAACCAAACAGAAAATGTACCATTTCTGTTGCTCATAATATGTAAACACATGTCATGGTTGTTCATAATAGTTATACTTATTATATATATATATATCATATATCTAGTATGCTCATCCGACTTCGTCAACGTTTCAAAGTGCTGGTCCGTTCCTGGGTTTCGCCTGACCAAACAATGGCCTTGCGGCAACGGTCCGGATTCGTCCTGAAAGGATGGTAGCGCACTTTCGAGAACTTCTCTCGACTTGTCCAAGCTACTAGTAGCTCCTGGCATTGCTACTATAGGAGCTTTTTTGCTACGAAGGTAACAAGAAGCTACGCTCGTAGCAAAGGGCAAGCGGGCACAACATGGCACAACTTGGATTCCCTGCTGTCCGACTTCATCATTCTGAGCACAGCTCAGCTGTACACTCTTGGCGCGGACCTCAGTCGTGGAAGCCCGGACCTGCTTTCGGGCCAGCATTGTTCTCAGCTTTTGATTCTCAAACTACAAGGATGCTGGTTGGCACGGACATCTTGCATCATCTTGCAACTTGCGAGCAGGTTCAGGTGACATCTGACTTCGCTGACTATGTGTTGCACGCATCGTTTTCTTGATCGCTGATTATGGCCCTTTTGTCTTGCCACACTGGACAGGTTTCCATGTCGCATGTCGGACATATATAGTAACTGGAAGTGCTCTTTGTATCCACAGTCAGCATTTGGCCATGCAGTCAGCAAAAAGCTGCGAGTCTTGTGACAATCTACAATCTGTAAGACTGCTTCGACAGTGCGCGTAAGTTGCCGGCATGCAGTGGATTCTTGAAAACCTCACCATGGATCGGGTAAAAGCACACAGGGAAAGCGGCCACTGTAATCCAATCGTGAAAGCGTTACCCGTTAGCATCCAGTTACGACAAAAGCATATATTGATAGACCCTCTATGCAAACTAAAACATAATTCTTGGCACTCACCTGCTCTCAAGCAAAAAGATCCAAAAGTGACAGCATGAGGCGTTCGCAGGTCCAGCATGTGTCTGAACAATGTCTGAATCCACTGACACCGATGGGTCTCAACATGTTTAACAGCATGAAACAGCTGAAATATCAGACATGAGGCCTACAACCTGGAGCTTTCGAGCACGGTATAATATACATGATGTATATATGAAGTCAATTCCTGCTGAAACGACACGAATTCAAAACAAACTACTCCACAGAACCAAATGCTTCAGCAAACAACTCTTGCCTTCTGCCACCTATATAAACCATCATCTACCCATAGTTTTTCTTCTCCTCACACCCTCTGCCGTCCTCGCTCCTTCACGTACCTCACGTACCTACCCACCTGCCCCACTGCCCTGCCTGCGTCTGTCGCAGCGAGGGCTGTTGCATGGGACGAAGCCCCAAGGCCGCTGGACCGCCTGTCTCCTACGAGCGACACCGGGGCCGCCCGGACGGACGGCGATGGCTCGGACCGCGATGGAACTGGCGTTGTCTGGGTCTTCTTTTCGAGGCCGAAACGGACGGAACGGTGGAGGAGGTTTTGGATGAGTGCTTTCTATTTGAAGGTGGGGGCCTATTGAGCAGGACAAAGGATGATAACTAATGATAACACTATAGTTCACTAGTGTTTAGAAGCATGTTGACTGTGAAAGAAGGCTGGGATGGGCTGGAAAATGTGGAAAATGGGCTGGAAAATGTGGGCCCCAACTCTTGAGGAGACAACATGAAGGTTCTGGTAATTGTTTGCATCCTTACACTACCTGAAATCATCATGGGCCCTTTCGTGGATGGCCCCTGGCATGACCATGAGACCAACCAGCTGGTGAACTCCACGTTTCGCCCAAAACGGCAGTGGACGAAGTGACGTCGTCACGACGAAGGACGCCGGAAGGACGGACGTTTCACCGAAAAGGACGCCGGAGACATCTGCCCGGGATCCAAGTACCAAAAGATCTGACTGGATCCGGACAGTGTCTGGGCCAATAACAGTGTCTGTCTGTCGAATACATCACCTTCTCAAAGGGTCTGTGGAACCCTAGGGCTGGATATGATCAAGCAAGCCGTTTAGCCCATCTGAACAGGGGTGAACCGTGTTTCTTTTAAATCCGAATTGGATTCATGGTTCAAGAACCAGTTCCTGTGACACATGATCGAGACGTTGGGTCAGCGAACCTTCCCAGTACCCTCCATATTGGTCTCTGGTCAGAAGAAATCTGTAGAACAACGCCAGGATAGCTCACAAGATCTCTGGCTATGTTGTTCCTTTTTGGCGAGAACAACATGAATCAATATTATCAGATTTGGCTAAATCTTAGAATCATTGAAGGGACACTCAGTCCATTCATTTCTGAGTAAGCCAGTCCACAAGTAAAATCCTTTTTGCTTTTTCAAACCTGGTAGAAACATGGCAAACATGCGGTTCCCGCTCCTGTCTCAGCTGCGACAGAAGCAGGACCTGTGCCCGCTGTCGCTGCTGCAGCCTCGTGAACGAGGCGAGTCGGAACACGACGTGCCCAAGTTCAAAGCCTTGAGCCTTTGTGAACCGTTTGAAGCAACACCTTTCTCTTTTGGGATCTTTCACCCAAACGTTGCATGGCACCACCCATGAGGGTTGTTTGCCATGGTGTAGACCCATTGTCGTTGGTTTCACGACCGAAGGTCGGTATACCGACCGCGCTGGACCACCGGCCACCCACTCGTTCGTCGACCGGCTGGCTGAGCTCTGAGTCAGACCCACTCGTCCCAGAAAACATCATGACCATGTTGTAATAAAACATGGTCATTAAAACCATAGTCATGGGTTGTAATAAACCATGACCATGTTTAAACACCATAGCATTTCGTGTTGGGCTATTAAAACCATAGCGTTTCTATAGGACGAGTGAATAGGACTTGTTTTGACAGACAGGCTGCCTTTGCCTGTGAGACCACGATCTTTCTAAGGGCAGAAGATCTTTCCATGGGGGGTTGGAAAGCGCGACTGGCCAGCGATCCCTTCATGCCACGGGCGAAGGCAGAATAGACTAGAGGTAGATCAATTTTGAGTCAAGAAAAAGTCTTCGAGTCTTCCAGACTGCTGTTCCTTTCAAGCTCAGCAAATCGGTTCTCTATGTTCTCTTTGACATCGTGTCAAGCTGCTGTTCTCGTGCCATCGCACTTGGAAGCTCACCTAGCAGCAGCACGCGAAAGCAGTGACCGCTCGGACGGGGTTCACCCATCTCGTGTCCGGTCCGGGAAGATGCTGTGTGTTCATGCTGAAAGGCTCAGATTCGAACGGACACCGACACCGTTCCTGTGCCAACTGTGTGTTGGTTTTTGTGTTGATTATTATAGACGCCCCCTTTTTCACCAGGCGGAACGTCGGCTCTAGATTCAGATTCAGATCCTCCTCTTCTTTTCAAAGGTAGACAAGGATTCGCCACGAGCCCGGAGCCAGGTGTCTAGACGATCCATCCGTAGGGCAGGGCCTGGAGGTCCTGAATCTCCAACAGCAACGGGGGGGTTTCCAATGGCTGTGTTGGTCACTCCAGTTGCATCCAGTTACCCACCATACCCCAAGTCCTTCAATGCCACACGCACAGTGTGATTATGATGCACGTGCAAGTGTTTCAATGAGGACCGGTGCATTTTTGATTCTATTTTCTCACATTTCGGCCATACACGTAGCACCCCCGCCATCGTTTTCATCATCGAATGATAGCAAGTTCCCCATGGCTCGTGGAAAGGATGCTGTTGCTCAAACGAACGATTGTCAGTCATGTCAAGTGTTTTTCCTGTTGTAGACATGCAACAAGGCTTGTGGTTGTTGGCTTGTAGATGCTAAAAGCAAGTGTCTGGTAGGAGGCATTGCGGCATGCGTTCTGTTGTGTTAAAGGACTCGATCGATCTGTATACAAAGTTTAGGATTGAACAAGAATGCTGACTGCGCATCCACATTGCTTTGTGCCATGTTTAGTAAACATGTTACCCATGTCTTCAGCAAGCCCTGATTCAAGGTTTCCGTCTCTTGTTCGTCACGTAAGAAGAAAAGCTATAAGAATGCTGAGTACATAGAAAATTCGCTTGACGGAAAGGCTACAGGACAGCCATTTCCAGTTTGTCAGGAAGCCCTCATGACTCATGAGCTTCTGAATCTCTAGGAAGGACACCCAGCTGAATGACTTATAACTTATATATATATATAATACACTCAGAACTCTTGGCCCAAACTGTGGAGTGGTGTCGTTATTTTCTTCATTTTCTTATTATTGTCCTTGTTGTTGATGTTGTTGTTGCTTCTTCTTCTTCTTCTATCAGCAAAGACCTTTGTGACATGTGACGCGTTTTCAGGGTCTACAGTTCTGTGAGTTTTATTAAAAATCAATCAACAAACTCATTCTTTTGGTTGTTGTGCCACCCAACAGAGGTTGAAGAACCCTATAGACTATCCCAAAGGTACCCCAGTAAGGTCACTTAACCTCTCTTGGACAGTGGGATGATGGACGTTCGTCTTTTGTTGACTCGCCCCCTTTTTCAAGACCTGTGCAGGATTTCGTAGTCACTCAATCATCTGATGTTGCGGCTTTTGCATAATTTAAGAAAGTCCTTCGGCATCCTTCCGTCTTGTTTGCGCTATTTTTGACCTGCTATTTCTCTGCAAGAAATCAAGAACCCACACCAGATGCCAAGGCTTTGTTGAATCGACCCCGGATACAAATCAAACACCGGCCTTTTTTGCGAAGGCCGCCGAGCCGGCGCGGAACCGCTCAAGTCCCTCTTTCACCTGAGCTGGTGGCCTCTCTTAGGCAGTTGCTAAGTCGTGGCCGATGTCCATGTCTATAGATGTCTATAGATGTCCACGTGACTCTTACCAGGAACCGACTAATTAGATGACTACTTCGATTCTCGATTTTCGGACAAACGATGATACGCCCGATGCACAAGTTCGATGAAAAGCACGGTAGCGTCTATTTCGTCATTCTTGCGAACGAGCACCTTCCCTCAGGTGGTATTGAGCGTCGCTCAATTCCCTTCATGATATTCTTTGTATAGAGTATATATAGATCCTTTGCTTCTACCACCTCCGGCAAAACATGTAGCAACCACCGAGAGCGGCGAAGCGCTTTGTACAAGCTCCGTCGGTTCGCTGCGGCGCCCGCGTTCGCCGCGGACCCGGCGTCCTTCGGAGGACTTGCTGCGGGGCCAAGGCCAACGTGGAACTCTCAGACAGAGCGGCGCCCGTCTGAGTGTCTGACCAAGAACGGAATTAATTTTGAATTAGGCTTATGAGTTAAATGATGTTAAATGCCCAACATCAAACTTGACAATTGGTTATTCTTCCAAAGTCTCGCGTTCCATTGGGTTCCAATGGATACCCTTGCATTCCAGCCGTGGACTTGGAGATTGACTAGCTAGCAAGACGGCAACTTTGGCCGAACTGGGGGCCGTAGCTCAGGGCAACCTGAAATGGGCGATGAAAGCGGGCACGTCTTCACCTGTTTGACCTCTTCATAGGTCTGCAGAAAACTGGTTCCTAAACTTCTGAATGCCCTTCAAGTATCTCCAACTATGAGTACCCATGTCAAGAGGAAACAGCTGGCGTGAGGAACGTCTCGCTGATACTCCTAACTCTCAAACTGCGGATGCTAATGGATCTCCATGTTTCTTGGAAGCGAGGCAGCCCTATGCTGCCCTACAGTCAGTACCGTGTATTTTCCTACTAGCTACGTATTGTGCCTAAAGATGCCTAAAGCACAATCCTCTGGAGTCATTCACTTGCCTAAAGCATCCTAAAGCCTGCATGACTCTATGACTTTGTAACCATCCTCCGCCGACTCTATGACCTGCATCCGTTCCACCAAACCGTCAGACTGCCCTCCGTTCGTGCCGACCGTTGGTGGACGGTGCGCTCGTGCGTCCAAAGAAACCTCCAAGCTGTCCAAGCCTTGATTTCAGAAGCCCTGAGCCACTTGCTTTCAACCTTGGAATGGATGATGCTGGGTGAACAAAGCAGCCCATCACCACCGGTGTTTGGTGAGTTTGGACAGCCTGTGAAGGTGCTCAAAAGGGCCAAAGGGGACACGGGACACTTCTCAAGGCTTCTCAAAGCATCTTAGTGGTTTCACAAGACGGAGGCGCCGAACTTGGAGAGACGAACGGGGGTGCGCGAATAGAAGGACTCCTGGTCGTCATGTGTTCATGGCCTTGCCAAGTCCATGGCACCGCCGAGTCCGCCTTCATCCCACCGCCGGAGCTCGGACTCGTCTCGTCTCCGCGGAGCGGAGCGACGTCTCGCCCGTCGAAGCGGCGGTCGGTCGTTGGACCCGAAGAAAGGACCGTTCTGTTGACGTCAAAGAAGTGAAACATGATTTTTGGCACTCCAAAAAGATCACAGAAAGCAAGGCACGAGAAGAACGGAAGGTTGGCCCAAAAGTGATTCTGCACTTTGATGCAACACATTTCAGACCAGCTCAGTTTGACAGACCATGCAGGTCTGTCAACATGGGCCCCGGGCCCCACGACAAAGAGCTCTCGGTTCAATGGATCCTGTCAGAAGACGATCCTCGAATCATCGTCGCACAACATGATCGGTACAGAAATTCCACCCGTCATTCCACCCGACTCATAGTCAAAAATTGGGTGGAGGACCTGTACCAATACAGTAGTCCATTCCTTTCCACCTGTCGAAGAAAAAAAACAAAAACACACCTTGGCAAACTTCTTGGCTCATGGACTGCATCGATGCCATGGCCGTGCGACGCCACTTGCGACGCCGTGCCCACAGCGCCTCTGCCAAAGACAGCGCCTGCGGTGCCCCAGAACCGACGACGGCCGACGACGGGGGCAAAGTGACCAGATGGGAAGAACATCAGCCACAAGGGTGAATATAAAGTGAACAATGGTGCACAACAGGTCGCCACAACTGTGCACTGGTTGAACCACTGGCTCTTTGCGAAAAAAGCATCGGAGGTGGCAACGAATTCTTCGCCACCCAACATGTCCCAAGGCTCACGGCCCCCTTGTTGGACAAAGATATCTATATCAAATCATATCTACTGATCTCGGTGTGTGAACTACTCAAGTAGGGATGAGAGCAGCCTTTTGGTTCACTGCAAGTGGATGAAGCCTTACGCGACTTGTAAGGACATTCTGAGGATCGTCAGCAAAACGTGTCCCCCTGCCCCAAAAAAGGGATCTGACTCTTTTTGTTATTTGTTGTTGCCTTTTTCTGGAGACCTCACAGAAACCAAACCCATCACCCATACCAACCCCCCTAGACTTCTTCCCGCCACCAAACACGCCACGCTCTTCGGCCCAACGACCGCGGGGCCTCAGAGCGACCGACCGGTTCGGACGAGCGCCTTGAAATCCTCCGGCCAGTTGGCCCGAGCGCGCCACAGTGCCTCGACGCGCCAGTGCCCGTGGTCCCGTCCGGCTGCGGCAAGGAAGGAGGTCGGAGGTGGATGTCAGGGGGGGTCGGTGGATGACATGGAGAATTGTCATAAGTGCGTACTATACATCTATCATATATGTAAAATATACCCATTATCTACGTAATTACTTGGCTGAAGATTTCCATGATCCACCATGTATGCTGTCAGTGAAAGCACAATAGTTTGTAGACCAGTTCGTAGCTGTTCGTGCAACAAGCCCCCAAAACACCTTCCACATGAAAGGCATATGGCTTTCCAGGCCTTTCCATAATAATCTCTCCCCAATGACTCTTTTGGACTTCCTCAGTTTCCCATATATATATATATATACAGCAAACCTTCTTTCATCTTGTTCATTTTCAGGTGCATTTGGAGTTCTTTTCCCCAACAACGGGTTAAAGGTTATCCAGTAAATTCCAGGGTCGGCTTTTGACGTGTGACCTGCAGGGCAACGATGCGTCTGGGTTCTCAGCATCTTCACTTCCCGAAGCGACCTCAACCGAGCCTCACCCGACCTCACCCGTTGGTCGCCCGGTTGGTCTCCCGCGGAACGAAAACGGTTGGACGACGCGTCACCGACGACTCGGCCTTCTTGGCGTTCAGATCCCATGCGCGCAGACCCGAGCTGAAGAGCCCTGCGGACGGACCGCGGCTCGGTGCCGTCTCTCGGCCCGATCGCGGTGGATCGGCGCTTTGGAAGAACTTCCCCCCAAAAAGCCGGGACCGTTTGGTGAGTTGGAACGTGTCGATGCCCGCTGATCTGATCATGTCCATCCGGGTGATGCTTGGCTTGGCATCGGAGAAATCGCAGCATGGTAGAGCCCAAAAGTGAGCAAACGTGGGGGGGGCTCCAGCTACTCATCATCTCCTCATCCCCTGGTCTTTGGGTGTTCCATGGTGTTTGGGGGAACCCCACCACGTGTCGCATCCGCGTTTTTCCCCATGCGCCAACAGTCCAACCGACCCCAACAGTGACCTCACGCCCATGTCACGCCTAAAAGGTGCAAGCTCCCCTGGTGCCTGCAGGGCTAAGTGATCAAACCAAGACCATCAAAAGACCCAAAGCCATCCCAAGAATCATCCAAAGACCTGCAAGATACCAAAGCACCCACACTGGACGCCCACACCCACATGCTGCAATGCTCTTACATTGTAACTAAAGTAAACTCTCATATCGTAGCTTTCAGATGATCCCGTTGAGAGTGGCCTTGAGTCATACGTATCAGGCTAGTCTAGACTCTCTCCCCTCTAGTCATGCTTTCAAATCATCCAAAATCAATCCACCAACATCGGTCTCAACACATCTCCAACTCCAAGGACCCTCCTGGTGAAGGTCAATGCCCTGGGTTCAGCATCCACCTGGCGGTTAACTGGGCTTCCATGGGCAAGTTGCGTGTTTGTTAACTACACCCAGTAGGTTATATAAACAGATGGTGAAATCGATTCTTCCAAGACATCTATCCTAAAATTTCCACTCACGCGCATTCATGATCTTCAATGACATTTCCATGGATCATCTTGAATCGGCCATCATTCTGATCATGCATCATGAATCTCATCCGAACAAAACATGTCACACTAATTTGGTCCAACAGAGATCATGTCCCGGTGGCAAACAAAGGTCAAGCTCCGTCTTCTTTTGCGCCGAAGAAGCGTCGCGTCTCGCTCACGTCGCAGAACTGCTGAGGCAGAAGCGCTCTCAACCGCGGATGGCGCTCAGCTGTGCGCCAGGATCGCGCCGTGCATCGCGCGACGGCCACGGGACCACCGGCCACAGGGTGTTTGTTCGGACGCAGAGGGCCACGCCCACCGCGTGAACCTCATCTCATGGCCTCGCGTCGGGGTTCGCACGAGACGAGACTGGAGCGTGGTACCTGAGGATTTTGTGGCCAGGTGAACCGTGGTCTCAGAGTGGTTACAGATGGGTTGCAGCGGTGGTACAGTAGTGGACCCCCCAAAACATTGAAGGCCACATCTGGGGGGCCCTACAGTAGTGCCATCGAAGCGCTGAAAACATGTTGAACAGAACTCCTGATGGCCTTCAGTCTTTGGAAACAGCTGTTGATCATGGGGTCTATTCACCTCGCCCCACGCGAGTGGAGAGCCCGTCCAGGCTCTTCGTCCGTGTGGATTTATTCCCAGTGACGATGCTTTTCTTGTCATGAAACACTTGAAGTCACCAAGTCAGACAGTCAGACAGTCACCAAGTCGCCCAAGCCTGAAGAGGTCTTAATCCATCTGGGGTGGTTTTATTGATCAAGAGCCTACGTGAGGGCCAGGGGGCAATGGTTCCCCATGTTATCTGTCAACCGTCCACCCTCAGTCTCTGCCTGCAGCTTGCCAAGGAAGATTTGATGCGCTTCCAGATACAGTTGTTGGCAGGGCGGCTTGTAGTAGTGGCATCCTAGCAGGGCGTAGAATGTTCGGAGGGTCTACATCTTTAGACTGCCCCCTAGCCACAAATGACTTTACTTCGAGTGACCCCCACCATGACATTTCAATCATTTGTCTTGATGCCATAGTGAGGAGCATGTTGCCATGGTCGTGAATATTGTAGTTCTCGATTTTGCTTGTGGGTCCTCGGGTTGTGTGCTGTGGTTGTGTGTTTGTGTTTGTGGTTGTGTGGTTGTGGTTGCGTGCTTGTGATTGTGTGTTTGTGATTGTGTGTTTGTAGTTGTGTGCTGTGGTTGAGGTCTGGCAGGGAACACTGGGCGTGGATGGTCGTGGTTGAGGTCCGGCGGAGGAGGACGCGGAGGAGAAGGAGGAGGACGAGGAGGAGATGGGGCTGTCGTAAAATCTAACAACCCTCACCTGACAGGTGGGGAAAACATACAAAAACCAGTCACTGTTTGACCGTAGATTGACTCAACGTAGATTGACCGAAGGTCCCATTGATCCCTCCGCGAGGGTTGAACGAACCTCCTCCGCCCGATCTCGCCGGTTCTCTTCCCCCCAACATCAAAGAATGCACCCGCTCGTGATTTCTTTCCGATACCAACCGGGAACCCCCAGTTGGGGTGCCTCATGGACACCGCGAATCACGGCTAGGGGGGCTATATGGGGCTATAAATCGACACCCCTTGGCAGAGGGTGCCGATACGAGTACCAAGCATCTCGTGAGAGTCCGTCCGTGTCCGTCGATCATCCGGCCCGTGGCCTGGATGATGCTTAATGAAGTCCCCATCTTGCCATTCTCTTGATGCCACGGTCGCAGCTGTTGCAGCATGGAAGGACTGCAAGTGTTCCTTGCAAGAGAAGCACAACCACCGAGTGAAGGCGACGTGCACGACAAATTGAAATTCGATCAAACACACAAGGTACAAGTACCGATTCCACATGGATTCCGTGCCAAAGCGGACATCCAAAAGAGTTCAGGCTTCCGTGAAATTCCATAGGGTTCCATCTGCCGGTGTGCCTTTCTTGCATGGGAACCCCAGTCTCCCCGTTTGTGTCGCGTTTTCCATCGCCTGTGCAGCCACGCGCACTTCCGGCACCCAAACGGGTGCTTCGACCGCGTCCCAGGCATCGTCCAAAGACATGCTGCTGTCCTGAAGTCGTCGTGGCGGTCCGTTTGGGGTTCGGTCCTTTGGGTGAGTTTCTCGTCAAGGAACAGCTCACTCCCGGGACGACCAGTGATTCGGGACGAAATACGAAGCACAGCTGGACCGACGAGCAAAGCAGAAGAGGTCAATATCGAAATGGATGATGCCCTGGTGGTTCATTTGCTCCTCGTATTGAGATACGATACGCATCCTTGTACACCAACATCGCGTCGTTTCATGGACACAACGCAGTTCTCTGAATAGCAAGTTCCCCCAGATGGATGTCTGTTCATTTTCACGTGGAAGTGACCTGCAGGACACGTAAAGCATCAAACGTCTTCTGATTGCAGCTCATCCAAGCAGCATATAAGAGTTGGTGTTGCATGGTTGACTGATCGCTGCCTTGGATCTCTCGGTTGACTGATCAGCAAACCGCCACCGTCCCCCACGAGTCTCCCTGAACATCACTGATCACAGGTGGAAAAAGGGTTTTCGCATGTTTTCGCGTTGGTGAGAGGATCTGAGAGGGGAGGGTTTTGGATCTGCTTCTCGAAACTGCCCAAAACTCTCCATAAATCACCCCCCCAAAAAAAACAACATCAAGCCTTGGATCTTCACTTGCACCTGGGAGCTTGTTGGGCTCCCGAAACCGAAGCTGAACTTGCACGGCGAGTCCAGTCATGCGAACACAAGACAGTACAGTAACTCTTCCAGTCATGTTGTCCATTGCTCAGCCTGTCATGATCTCCCAACCACTTAATATAATTTTTATGTATTTTTATATCATAGTTATAACTCTCAACATATCTCTTAACACATCTCCAGTTTCATCTGTCAGGCCGCTGGAGCCTTTTGCATCCTTTTGTCAAGCGACAGTTGTGATTTTCTCCCGGCCCTTGCAGGATGTCCGAATGCCACCATCGCACCAGGAAGTCATGGGACCAAGCACTGTTCCGCATCAACCACCTGACACCGTCGCGACCGATTCCCAGCACGTCGGCACCGTCCGGGGCGATGTGGCGGTCCGCCGAACTCGGTCCAGTTTGAAGCTCTCCGACACTTCTGAGTTGGCACAACACTTCCGACGCGGACATCGGTGAACGCTTCGATTTGTGCACCACGGTGCGATGTACAGAAGTGGTCAACTAGGGAGCCCCGCACGCCGTTGTTGATGCCGGAGGAGTCAGTGGCCACCTGAGTCGGTGCTTGCCGAGTGAACCTGGATTCGCCAGCAGAAAAACATGATCAACAGCGTCAATATAGCACCGAAGTGAGTGCAACATGTTGTGATCACAATCCGCTGGGCCACAATCAGCGACACCTCTGGGGGACTCAAAGGTTGCACTCGGTCTCGTAAGCTCTGCATCTTCAAATCTTCGCCGAAACTCCTGCGTTGAGTGCAAATGGCAGTGCACCATGTCTTGTCAGAGCGATGTGACTCAAGTCGCTCCGATCTCCTCCGATCTCCCACCATCGAGCGGAGCGACCCACCTCGACCGGACGATACCCGTGGACACCGTTCCCGGCGGAGCGCCGCCTGGGTCCAAGCTTTGTGGCCCAGGTGTTGTTGCCGCTGTACCTCTGGGACGGACCCCCCAAAACATATCATAGATCAACCTTGATTGCTTCCTATATGGTCGATGTTTGTTCGTTTTTCGTCTCGTATGACCAGAAACGAAAGAAGAAACGCCGTTCAGTCCATACCCACCAGAAGCGGATGAATCAGATATCTGGGATTTCTCCACTTGCCGCCGAAGCGACATCTGAATGACACTGTCGATCGTTCGACCTGCCATGGTCACAGGTCGAACGCGCGGCCCCGCAGCTCTGCGGGCTGGTCATTACGGCTCATCTTTCAAAAAACCAGGCGGAATGCTCATGTCATGTCTGAGACGCTCAATGTCTATATAGCTTGATACAAATTAATTCATTTGCAGTGTTTCCCCTATGTTCATATGCTCTACATCGTCTTGAACCAGCAAAAAGGCCGGAGGAAGATGTCTGCTCCAACGAAGAGCGCCGTCCGAAGAGTGCCCGCCGTCTTTTCGTCCAAAGCCGGTTTCGTCCGTACCTCGCCTGGATCCATGAAGAGTGCATCGCAATCAATCCAAAGCACCCAATCATATCTTGGAGTTTGTTCCTTCAAAGCTTGGTGAACACAGCGTGCACACCGTGCATTGAAGTTCGTTTTTTGGGGCAGCTTTAAGGAACACTGCGTACGGCGTACCCACGACCGATCTGTACGGTTGCCGAGCAAAAAACAAAGCACAAGCCACAAGCACCACAGAAGCGGACGAATTTGGCCAGAGTTCCAAGATGTTCTTCACCTGGCCAGCCAAGTCAGGAGAACATGCCATTTCTTTTGCAAACATATTGGCCTGTCCAACATCCAGGTTTCATCTCCTAGTCATTTACAATGATTTTCTGGGGGGGTCTCGTAGTGTTGGGCTCTGGACGCTGGTTTGTCTTGTCTCGTAGTCGCTGGACGAAACGAAAACTGCCCAAGGTACCACGTTGACCTTCCAGAAGAAGGGCTTGTGCCGCCCATCGTTGATGTCCATCCTGGGACCCAGGCAGAAGAGATAACTAAGAAATACACACCATCAAGCTGTGAATCAAAGGAAGCTTTCAAAAAAAAAGGAATCACATCATGCAAAATAAGAACATGTACGAAAAGCGTGCTTTTAGGGATACTGGCCAAGGCAAGAGCTGGAAAGCTGTCTTGCAAATCACTGTGCTTTGTGGCAAAAGACATGGCTAGTGGCATTTTGCAAAATCTATCAAACTCATGCACTCCGAAGCTAGAACACAAGGGAGTGCCTATACACTTTGGATGACCACTTCTGGCTGTGCTTTTGAAACAAGGTCGCTTGACTGTCGTGCTTGGTCAACTGAGACTCGCTCTGAGAAGCCAGATTTGCTTTGATCTGCGACTTCTCAGTCACTTGATAAAGGTCATAACCGTGAAGCTCCGCATAGACCCTCAGCAGGAGATGTCACGGGCTCTACATGCTGCGACTGCGTTCTCCACGACACGCAGCGCCTGCGCCTCTCAGTCGTCCACCTCTTGGAAGATGTCTTATCAGCTACGTCGCCATGTCCCCGGAAACGAGGAAACCATTGACCTTAAAAATGAAGAACCTTATTACACGTGGGGCGGCGGGATGCGCGTTGGGACTGGGGGGGCATTATATATAGACCCCGTGTCGATAGAAAGAAACTTATAGAAGTTGGGATCGATTTTTCACGTAGAACAAAACAGGACACCGTGACTGACACCGTGCCAGTACATCAATTTGGGGACCACTCAATTGGCTTGGGGGTATCCAATTCTACTACCCCCAAACCGCAGAGGCCCCCCTCCGGAAGTACCGCGGTAGGACGTCCTCTTTGCCACCGAAGTCGCTGATGGTTCTCCGTGCCAATGATGCGCACCGGCTCGGTTTCTCCGTAAGCGCAAATCGACACAATGGCCACCCGTTGGTTGGGCAAACGGAACTGCGGCATCGTCCTGGGGTCGTCAGCACGGACCACGGAGGAGAGAAGAAGTGTCTGGAGATAAATGGAGTATGGTGGTTCAAAACCCATGGTAGAATATATATAGAAAATGGTCTAAACTCGCTGCGCTCTAGATCAATGTTAAGGCTTCTATCCACCAACAAACCACTTGGAAAGAACCACCTTGAGTCGTAGATGGACTCAAGATACCCCAGTGGGCTAAGTCAAACATGATGGCCTTTCATGATCTCTTACATTCCACAGTTTCTCTTCACCTCGTATTGCGCAGCGAGGCTGACTTCCAACTGAGGGTTTCCCTCTCCGTTCGGACTGTCCGGATCGTTCCTCACTGCTCAAGTGATCAGTGAACTCATGTTGGTCATCTGTTTGCACCGGGAACAGCACGAACTCACCCACACAAAGCCCTCAAATGTTCCAACAATTAATCATCCCATCCAATCGAAACCTCACTGCTTGATCGTCTTCCTGACCACCGAAACCCGCGCGCTCTCCGCATCCGCGCGCCCGCGCGCAATCACCGCGATCACCGCAGCCCCGCCACGGCATCACGGACTGATCGTCCAACGGCCGGATCGAGGACACCAGATTCCGTCCCGCCAGGAGCATGTCCCAACCCTGCGGACATGACTAAGGCGGATTAGCGGGCCAGCGGCGATGGACCAAAACACCGCGCTGGTGGGTGGAAACGGTGCCAATTTGGGGGGAACATGGAGCATGTTTCTTGAACATAAGCCTCGCATAGCCTCGCAATAATTTAAAGAACAGTGAGTTCATCATACTTTCATCGAGTGTTTCACATTTGAAATGCATATATTTCCATGCGCTTGACAACGCCATGTAGTGTTACATCTTGGGAATAAGTAGACAAGGATCTTACAACTGAGACTGTCCCGGTTTCTGCCTGCACAGGCCATGGGGTGCATTCCTCAGCGAGGCCATGGGACGCAGGACACAGCTTTTCACCGGTTTTGCTTCAACCTGTCTAACCATGTCAAACCAACTCAAGCCAACCAGGTTTACCTCCTGTGAAGATAAATATTGTAAATTTTGTAACATATTCTTGTACAGCCCTCAGCCCTTCACACGTCTTCCGAGGCACGTTGAAGCCTTTGTCTCGAACAAAGATGAAACCCATGTGAATGAAGGCCTGGTCGACGGAATTCCGATATCTTTCTCCCGTCGTCGACTCAAATGATCACCAAATGCAGGGAAACACAATGAAACACATTAATTAGTAATAAAAAACTCTATTATGATATCTTCTAAATCCTCGTATGTCATATAGTACGTCTTCAACAATTTGTTTCTTAATCACTTGACGCCATTCTGGGTGCTGCACTGCACTTTAGGGCTTATGGCATTTTCGAGTCTTCTAGCTTTAGCCCAGAGCAGCGATCTGAACTTGGCCATTGAAGCAACCTGATTGGCTGCCCTGGCAAGAACAGCTTGACAACTCATCTCTCTTTCAATCCATCTCCTGTTCACAGGTGCCCCGAAATAGACCGCCAACACCCCCGCACCAGAGCGCGTCGAAGGCGGCCCTGGAAAGCAAAACTCTGGGCCAAAGAGAAATACCTTGGCTTCTGAAATGTCTTTGACCGGTAAGTCCAAAACCATCAATAGTGAAAAGGCTACGCGGCTACACTCCGACGAACACGTCACATGGAAGTGCATGGTCCACCAATGGTTCACCCTGTTCGTACTAGGAAAATGGTCATCAAGGGTCCCTTTTCCACGTGAACACGTGAGGTGTTCGGGGGGCTGCCGTGGTCACGAGATGATTCTGTCATCGTTCTTCGCCAGTGCTCAGAGTCGGGCCCGTTTTGTGCGAACAAGGCACGTGGAAGCCACTGCCAGTGGACACTCGAATGCAAACCAGAAGTGCCTTGTTGTGGCTCGCTCGGTCTGGTGAGAAAACGAGAACGTCTGGTACACCGTCAAAGCGTGCCCCTGTTTTGCGCTAAGGCAAGGCATGTTTCACTTCGCTTCCAATTCTCTGTTCATTCAGAACGCAAACAGTTGAACGATCTTGCAAGATATCACAACCGCCGCTTCATCCACATCTCGTCTCGGGCGCTTCGTATTCACGCACCCACCTTTACTTGAAGATCCTTCGGCCCGCGCCTTCCTCACGAACCCTCGCCCCTGCCTGCCGTCGTGTCGAGTCTCGCGACGGAGCTTGAGGCGCCTGGTGACTTCGCGGAGGAGGTGCATCACTGCCTCTTGGGATCCACGAGCACCGTCCCCAGAGAAGACCATCGACCTGGCGGATGGACCCGGATGAGACCTGGTGGTCGTGGCCGGACGACTGACGAACGTCCGGTGCTACACGGGTGCAAGGAAAGACAAGAATGTGGGGAACGATTGGGGATGATGACGGCAGATTCAAAAAGGCTTTCTATGTGTTGCTTTGGCAGTTCTGTAGCAAACCAAGGCACCTTGCGAAATAAAGCTGCTCGTGATACAGCTGCCAGTCAAAGTTATATGCCTTAGCTGCAACGACTGCTGCAACGTATATCACATGCAACAGTCCACGGTTGGATAAGAAAAGAGACAGCAGTCGCTGATAAAGGTCACACAGAAATCAATTGAAGGCAAGGAGGGCCCTGCCGGCCCCGGCCAATTGCAATCCGTACGTTGACAGATCCCCAAACATTGTCCCCATGGATCCAAGTACCCTCTGAGAAGGTGTTGGGGTGGGTTTGGAGGGTCCAAGTACCTTTTGAGGAGGTACTTGGATCCCTAGGGTGTCGTATTTCCGTCCATGTCTGATCCTGCACATTGGCCCTTTGGGTGGGGGTCTCTGCTTCCCTTCGGACGTGACATGAAGAAGACTGGAAGTGTGAAAAGTGATGGCGAACTGCACATCCCGTCCGTGGCACTGATGGGCATTCTTCGGAGATTTCCACCATGCTGTAATCGCACCTAGCAAACGGATGCAAACGGATGATTGTGATCCTCAAACATTTGGACTGTGTGGGCATTTTTTATGATCCATTCTTCTCAAGCAAGACAACATGGCTGCAATATGCTGCAATCAGCGGCAATGGTTTCGGATGTTGCGCTTTGATCTCTTGGACTGACAAAGGGACAAGAACATGTCGAACATCGGCAATTTCAAGAGTATGTCAGATCGATATATACAGTATAATAATGTTTCTCCTCCTTGCAACTTGGCAGCTGGGGTGGGGGAGCACCAGCAACAAGAAACCTCACTGCAAATTAAATTGACAGTCAAGCGTTCAGAGGCACCGACCAAAACCACCTCCATCAAAGTTGCTGTAAGACCCAGCATCTGATCCAATGAGATAGCTTCCAATGCCCAACCATTGCGCCATCCAATGGACAAAATGGGAATGTTCCCTTGAATGTCTCTATATGTCTCTTCTATACACGATCTGCTTCAAGATGCTTCAAGCTGTGTTGCCAACTGCTTCTCAGTTCGGGTGGGGATCTTTGCCAAAGAAAATCCATCCGGTCAAGTTGAGTGGAGGAAGCAGGAACCTTTCACGTCTTTCCTCGACTTTTCGCTGGCAGGCGATGGGGTCCATGGGGTCCGCCAAGGATTGATTCATGGGCCAAAGGTCTTGGTGGGCTTGGTCTCGAGCCATATGGCTGGCAAAACGGGCCTTGTGCAAGGCTGCCAAACAGGTGTCACGGAGACTGGTGAGAGGTCAACTTCAGCGAACGAAGAACATGTGAGTGAGTGGGTGACTAAAGGTTGAAGAGAACAATATCTGAAAACGCCACCCATGCAGATTAGGTGGTACTTTTCTGCTCATCTTTGTCTTTTCTCAAACCATTCTCAACCACATTGACAGTTTCGGTCCCACCTGCAATGGCACGCTGTATTTAGGCCTCAAAGAAGTGCCAAGAAGACGAACACGTGAAAACAGGGAAGCGCTTGCTCCTGGGTTCGAAGGTGGTGCCCAAGACGGCTGGCTGCGTTGTGCTGTGCGGCACAGGTCTGTTGGGTTGGGCCGACAGCCAAGCCCGAACGCATCCCGACGGCCAGTGGCCTCAGAAGGCCATCAGGAAACGTGCAAATATCCTGGCAGACTGGAACGATGAAATCGGTCACAAGATTTAAAACGGAACATGTAAAGTCATTTAAAATTGTTGCAGTTGAACCGCTCTTCTTTGACCCATGAAACTGTCCATCGAAATCGGTGGTGCCACTGTGGACAACTGTACTCAAAAAGTGGGCACCAAGACACTGCTCCACACCAGCTCACCTGGCTGCCAAAGAGGATCCATCTACTTTCATGTTCTTCTTCCCCTAATAGCGATGGCCGGGCCCCCCACTCTTTCATGTCATTTTGGATCCCACCAAATCAGAGCTCCTCCATTGGCATCTCCACCACCAGCAATCGTTCTCCGTCCCAGCCAGCGAGGACCAAACACCTCGTGTTTTTTGGAAGGACCGTCGGTGTGTCGACTCTGATGTTTTCTGAGCCCCTAGGGCTGCAGGAGGTGAAACCTCCTCAGGTTCGGTATGGACCCGAACATGGCACGACCTTCCCTCCTTCCCAAACGAAACGAAGGTACGACTGGAGCTGTAGGGATCGTGTTTTCTGTTTGCCAAAGAAAGTCATCGAACTTCGCTGCTGGAAGCAAAGCGGCTGAGCCAAGCCCAACAAACTGAGCCAGTTTGTGGGCAAAGTCTTGGGATTGGTTTTCGGTCCCCGTGAGAACTGGATGTGACGCACCCCAAGAAATCACCGGAACAGTCTTGAGCACTTTCATAGCAGTGCCCAGTCCAAAATGCAGCACTCAGTTCGATCAATTCCTGATCTCATCTGGAAATCATCTGGAACCAATACACCTGGTTTTGGAAATCCACTACACCATTTTCCGGACTCAACTGTCTCAGCTGTCCTTTTCATCCAACGTCTCAGCTGAGCTTCGGCACCAATGACTTTGATTGGCGTCCTTCGGTCGATGGGCGGCGCGGCGAACGGAGCGCCGCCCCCCCACCGCTTCAAAAAATGGTCGGTCGGTCGAAAGCAACGATTGGATGGAGCGAATTGGGAAGTTTGGAGCATCCTGCCAAGTTTGGTGTTGTTTCACGACGTTCGACGAGGTGACTTTAAAGCAAACATGTGCAGTGATAGGCCGTGCCTTTTTTCCATCATGCCACTAACAATGTAAAGAGAAAAAAAACACTGGCGGAGAGAGGGGCCAAGTAAAACTAAAAGAAAACAACAAATGAAAACAAAAACAAATTTTAAATAGCATATTATGGTATCTTGTGTGTTTTAGGTTCTGATTTGGGACGAAGTACTTTTGGGGTACCGGTCTCTCCCGTCTTCGCGTTGCGTCTTTTTTCCAGGTCTCGGTTTCTCTCGCCAACCCGAGCGGACGGACCTCCGAAAGAAGCGTAACTGAAGTAGTAGTAATTCATGTTACTAGTATATCACTAGTACTGTAACAAATGAGGCATTACCTAGTATATCACTACTAATGGGGGTAATTAATGTTATTATATATATTAATGTATATCACTAGCAATTACTACTAGTAGTAGTTTGCAAATTCTTGCTACTAGTAATGCCCTTGTTACTAGGAGGCGATGCCCTTGTTACTAGTAGCGAATGCATAGGGAATGACATCAGGGTGACATCCTATGCATTCTGCTACTATTGTTCCGAGATAATTCCGTGATCACTTATAAGGTTTCGGCGTGGCTTTTCACTTCCAAGATTTTTCTTTCGGTTCCGTCCGACCAATCCGAATCCATGTTCGCTTGCAAGCCATGTTCTCATGTTATCCACGCCCACCAAAACCATCAAAAACCACCGGAAATTCCACCGCCGTGAGAGCGCTCATGTGCGAGGTTTCTTCGATGGTGCCCGTCCATTTGACATGCATGTGTTTATTTTATTGGCGCTGGATAGGAGTGGCATGAAGGGTGACTTATATGATGTATCAGGATGTGGTCAAACTTTGACCATGTAAGGCGCATTCCCAACAACTCTTTTGCACGCGCATGGAGTGCCGCTACTGAGGCATGGAGTGCCGCTTTTTCTGCGCCTTTTGCCCGGGCCGAGTGCGGAGCGTCGAATCAGAAAGTCGCTGCAAAGGGAAGCAAAGAGGATGGAGAGTTGGGTGGTGATGTGCGGACATTGGAATATATGTCGCGAGACATTGTCATTGTGAGTCCAAAACTCCCAAGCGGAGATGAAGCAGCGCAGAGAACCGGTTCCGGATGTGTCCACAGCATCATTTTGTGCAAGTGTGCCTGTCTTGCAGCGCTTTAAACAAATAAGAAAACACATGCCAGCATAGACCACCACTGACTCCGTCAGCTTTGCTGGAAAAGAAGGTTAACATTTTTTCACTGACTGATCTGACTGGGTAGGCCAAACAGTTTCAGATGTTTCAGTATGTTTCAGTTTTCTTTTTCTTCCGGCTTCGCACCTCGCATCGCTCCAGCGTTCCGGCAAAGCACCTCTGCAATGCAGGAGGTATTTCTTGGTTCGACTCGATGTCGACGCGCAATTTTCCGTGTTCCGGTCGTGTTGGTTGGTTGGCTGAGACACCAGACAACGCGCGACGACATCGGCGATGTGTTTGACTACTTGACATAGACTCGAAGTGATTTCAATGTCATTTCAAGTCCCCCAAACCGAGGTCTTTCAATCCATGTCCGGGGGGCTTGATTCATATCAAGAAAGGTTGAGTGATAGAGGGGATACCGACCCCTCCGTACCACCAATACCATCCAATACCGGCATGTAACAAGAATCAAGATGAACTTCAGTGTACCACCCCTCTCTTGTTCACATCTTTATCACAGGAGCCCCTAACCTTGGTAGCGATGCCCTCCGCTCCGCTCGCACCAACTCTCCAGCCACTCGCCCCTCCATCGCACCTCCAAGGCGACCTGCGCCCTGCCAAGCCTCAGGACTCCGGTGGGGGGGGGGCGATGCCAAGAGCGTTCAACCCCTCCGGCTGCGGTGGAGGCATCTGCGAAGCTGCAGATACGAAGCGGCGAAGCTGCACCAAGATCAAGGAAGGTTGATCCCCTCAGATGCCCTTCATGAATGGACATAGCAGTGTTGAAAAGCCAACGTTGAAAAGCAAAGAAAAGCTGACATGACTTATATAAATACTCTTTTGGGGGGACCAACAAAGAGACCGTTCCTTCGTCCCACTTCCGTCCCTGCCATCAGGACCCGCCCACTCCCACCCCCGCCCCTTACTGAGGCTGTCCACGCAGGACTCGTTCCACCGATCCTGCGCACCGAGTCCGTTCGGAAGGCCGTGCCGGGTCTCCGGTCTCGTTCCGTTCGGAACGGTGGGGGGATGAGTGATTCACTCATTGAATACCGGCCCGTTCTCGTTGAAACGTTCTGTAACCGGAGGAGTCGAACGATGGAGGTGGCTGGAGGTGGCTGGAACATAGTGTGACTCTGGAAAGGCAATGTTGCATTGCATCTCATAAAACCAATCTGCAACGTGCACGTTCTTCCAAACAGGTATGAAAGTGGTATTCCCAGATTCCTTCACTCCGTCGATCTTGAGGACCTCATATGCCGGTTTCACAACATGTCATGTGACTCATGAGTAACTCAGGGGTATTCATTGGACAAACATCTGTCCTCCTTACTGCATTTTATTTTGGAGGGGGATTTGCCTTGAAGAACATCTTGGTCCATTCCGAACCCCAAAAGACATGACGTCCTGAGTCTGAGTGGACGGCATTTTCTTGAGTGGACAGAATCGTTGGTCCTTTTGAAGATGCGGATATAGAATATATTAGAATATGTAATCTATATATTATAGAATCCCCCATGAGATTACCTCAAGCCGCGTCAGGTGTTGACATTCTTTAGTAAACTTTCGGAATGATACAGATGATTTCTCAAATGATTTCTTCTCGTCTCTGAACTGCACACAAATAAGATCAGTCATGATCGGTCGACGGCCACGCCTGAGTCACAAGTCGAGGATGCCTGGTCAAGGCCGGTGGCCGATCCACCCGAACTCGGCATGACCACTAAACACCAGGATTCCTCGGTGGAAGATGAAAAGAGGATGTCAACTGAAATGATCCGGCGGAAGATGACCCGGCGTCGCCAGGTCCCAAGAGCCGCCCGGAAAGCGGACAAAAACATGAAAAAAATACCCAATGAGCATGAGTCTTTCTCATGAGCATTGTTCTCCGATGTTCTCCGTGGGCTGTCTCTTCCAGCCAATCGATATCCGTCGAACGTGCTTGTCGACTTTGTTGGAGAACAACTCGTGTGCAAGCCGCAGCTACTGTAAGAACACTGCTGGTGTTGTGCTTGTCACTGATCTTCATCTTCAGACTCTCCAACAAAACATTCAGCATCGACGAAACTAATCTCAAGCATCAGAATGGTTTCCAAGTGCCGACGCTCAGCTCAGCTGGAGCGCGGCAAGTTACAAACAAGCTGGTTCAGGCTCAAAAAAACACCAACAGCACCAGAGTTCTTGTAGTCCATGAGTATTCTTCCATCTGGTTTGGAACAAGGAGAACAACATCTTATATACACCTTCATTTTGAAACTTTTGGAGCCTTCCCCAACCGTTGGGCTCTTATATATTTGGCATGCCAGAGTGCAGTTGCTCCCACCTCTGCCGTCGACTTCGGACGACGAAGTTTGAACTGCATAAATTCCCGCCGGGCAGACGGTTTCATCGAACAAATTGAGGCAGCATTGACCAAAAGCAGGTACCTGCAATCTGTTATCGGCTTCGGTGCGGGAAACAGGCAAAAAGCAAGGCCACTCCGAAGTTTTGCAGCCACTGCGATAGGCCAATAGTGATCTTTCAATTGCGGAAAGATCTACATGCTTTCAAAGGCTCAGGTCGTACAAGCGTGTATAGCTTGCCAGAACGTAGACCCTTGCTGTGACAATATCGGACGAAATGGGATTCGATGACCTCCGGTATGTCACAAAATCAATCGACGTTCAACAAACATGTGCCTTTCTTGCCTGATATGACATCAGCACTGTAAAACAGCGGATTTGCAAAAAATCAGACTTAACTTAAAAGGCTATATCAAGTCAAGATTGAATCTCCCCAGTGAGCATACACGCTTTCCAAGTTCTCCACACCTGCATAAGCTTCAACACCTTCTCCACTGTGCTCTCCAGCTCTTTTGAAGAGGCACAGCTCAATGAAATCTGAAGCGGAGCGTCCGCCTCCTGTATATAAACAAAATGAAGAGAGGCTGACACTCTGAGCAAAGGAGTTCAACATGTCTCTTCTCATAACCCTTTGCAAATCGGGAAATTGGTTTGCTCCTTTGTAATTCTTGTTTTCCTTTCTCCTTTTACCCTGATTGTCTTTGCATCGCTGTCATGTGCAGAAACGAGTCCTTGTACTGTCCATTCTCAAGCTCCAAATGGCCGCTGCCACGACCACGAACACGCACTTTGCAAGTGCTGCTGGCAATCCATCGCACGTTGCACCCATTCCGTCCGATGATCCGTGGCACCAGTTCGAAGTCCTATTGGCGAGTGTTCTGTTTGGTGCTTCGCCCTACCTGCGTGTTTCGTTTGGGATCCCCCATTTTGAGACCACTTGTGCAAAGGTACAATGACCAAAGATATGCTACATGAACGCCATCAGAAACACACAACACACTCATGTAGCGTTCCTCGTGCTGCTCGAGATCAAATCCCGGAAAAAGGATCTTGCACGTGGATCGTTTCGCTGCGGTCTTGGCATTCGCGGGACGCTGTACTTGGTTGTTCACCAGGCACTTCGGCAGCGGCAGGGGCGAACGAGGAGTCCTCAGCCGGCGAAGGCGAGCGGTGTTCCAAGCGTTCGACCGTCGACCTTCAGGTGGAACCATGACCCTGCAGACCACATGGGTGAAGTCCCAAGGTTCCATGGGATCGTTTGCAGGGGGTATGATATGTTTCTGGGAGTGGCCATTATTATGCAGTCTTGCTGTTTTTTTGGTGAACCCTACTAAACTCCACTAAACTTCTAAAGCCCTGAACATGACACTTCCTCTGTTCGGGGGCCCCTGGAGTCAAAGAACTGACACGATGTTTTTATGATTTTTTAAACGTGGAGGGCAACGAACATCCGCCAAGAGGCAGCGCCTGCACAAGCGACTCCCCAAAGACCTTGGAAGACATTGACAAAGGAAGCGGCACCTTCATGGGCAGCAGGTCCTCGTGTTCAGTGACGTAATCAACCAAATTTCCAAATCCATTGAAGAGTACTTTCGCCAGGCACCCTCCAGCAGTCGCATTCTTTCACAGCGATGTCTCATGCATCTCTACCAAAAGGATTCTCAAGTTCTCTAAGAGCATTCAAGCCTTTAAGTATGTACCCTTCCAAGATGGAGAGTAGAGGGGGGTACGCCTGGATTAATTTAAACAATTAATCTGACTACCTCCAGAGTGTTTTCAGAAAATTAACCTGGAGGATGTTGAGTCTGGTTTTAATTTTTAAAATCCGCCGACCCCGGCCTAGCCAAAGCCTAGGCGGGGAGGCGCCTGGGACACCGCAGGGTGAAGCCAGTTGGCCAAGCCTAGCAGAACCCTTCCAAGCACTTCCAAAGGCATATGTGCAGAACATGCTCCAACGCAGGCCGCGGCCTCATCTTATGGGCTTCCGAAGGCGACGCGCCAGGCGACGTCAGGCATTTTGGCTGGCTGCGCCCCAAACCCTTCCCGGCACCTGCAAAGGCCTCCCGGCACCTTTGGCCTAGCCCTGCACCGCAGCCTTGCCTGGCAGAGCCGGTGCATTGTGGCCGCGGCCTCTCTGCGGCCTGTCCGAGGCCGCCTGTCCGAGGCCTGCTTCTTCTCTTCTTATGGGCTTCCGAAGGCGACGCGCCAGGCGACGTTAGGCATTATGGCTGGTTGTGCTCCAAACCTTTCCCGGCACCTGCAAAGGCCTCCCGGCACCTTTGGCCTAGTCCTGCACCGCAGCCTTGCCTGGCAGAGCCGGTGCATTGTGGCCGGCCGCGGCCTCTCTGCGGCCTGTCCGAGGCCTGCCTCTTCTCTTCTTATGGGCCTCCGAAGGCGACGTGCCAGGCGACGTTCCAGGCGACGTGCCAGAGCCATTTGACAGAGCAGCTGCAATTGCTGTCACGCCCAATTCCTCAATATTTTTGGAGTTAATGTTTGGGTTCGCGCAGTCCCAAAGCAGAGGATTTTATGTCTTTCATGATGGTGCTGTGGACAGGACAAAAACACCTCTTCACCATCTGTCTGACCAAGTCACGAGGGCTTGTGCAAAGCCGGTCTTCGGGTAGAAGCTCCTCGCAGCCAGAATCCCGCACGAACCGGTGCACAGGAGAGAGGGAGAGGGGTTGGCCGAGCAGCCGACGCACTCGTGTACACACATATAGATATAATATATATATATACATTTGTCATAATTGCAGCTGTTCCCAGCAAAGCAACTCCCAAGGTTCTTGTCAACCCTTTTCTTCCTGGGCATCAGCTACGCTTCAGTCCATACAAAAATCTGACCTGCCTGCCCGCGCACCTGCCGCACTCCAGAATCACCTACAGAAACGGATCGACATGTGAATCTCATAACACTTGTACCTTTACGCCGCATACATGGACATATATTTCTTCACCGTCTATGCTGGTGTTTGCTCGGGCAGAGGAGAGAGGAGGAGGGCGGAGGGCGGAGAGAGGAGAGAGGAGAGGGAGATGGAAATAGTCTATTTGTTTTGCCCGGGCTTGTGGGCCATCTTCTATTTGAACCGGTCGGGTGTTCAAAACCGGGCACGCTTTCAAATAGAAGATTTTCACAACTAATATCTTCTATCTTAGGCGTCCGGATTATAGATAGATAGGTTATAATATAATCGAATATATTAAAATTGAATAAAAATAGAATATAATACATGATGATATAATATTATACTTTACTTAAGTGCTCATAGCATGTGTTCCGCAGCGTCCCTTTTGCCGCATTGAGCACTGTTGGAAGGTCAGCTACCATCCTGTTCATGGCATGCTGCCTCATCATCATCCCCCCGGGTGGGAGGTGGGTGACCAAAAAAGGTGCGGGCAGGCGACTCGGGCGCATGTCCTATGAACATGGACAGCTAGAGTGGCTCTCAAATGCAGAGCTGCTTCATGCTGAGGGACGGAAGGGTCATCTCAACTGGAATTTCGTAAGTTTTTCGTTGATGCCTTGCTGCAAGGACAGAAGTCATATACTGTCAGGACATTGCTATATATGGCTGAACATGTTCCAATCTTGTGCAATCAGTGCCCAGCACGGAACAATCATGCTCATGCCACCGTAGCATGCGTATCCACCTCGCGCCAAGCTCAAGCCAATGATCGCTACAGTGGCTTCTGCGCGGATCATCTCTGCGGCGGCGTGGCCGTCATACAGCGCAATGTCGTACAGGCCTGAGTTCCAACGGTGTTCGACTCACCACGATGAAGCGCTCCGGCGATAACTATTTCCTCAATTCCCCTGGGCTAGCCCCTGCAGCGCCCGTGTATGTCTTTTGTGGTACAACTGTATAAGCCTGGTGTTCTCCCGTGGCCCATCAGATCGAATTTAAAACCAAGTAGCTCTCCACAGAATCTTCCTCAGCTGCATCTGTCACACGAATCATTTTCTTCGCCCGGTCGCCGCGAGACGCTTCACCGACGTCCACCACCCGCACTTGGACATTGGCCATCTGAACGTCCTGCTCCGAGGGTAACGCTGTCGGCATCGACGGCAATACGTCAAAGGCTGCCTTTGGATAGACATCGTAGGATGGGTCCTCCCGCAGCACCCGAATCGTTGACCTTGGCAAGACGGTGCCCAGACCCACGCTTACTCGGCTGCACGCTACTGCACTAATTACGAGTTTTCAGCCTTCCCCGCTCGCTCAGAGGAAACCGGAGTATTTCTAAGTGAAGCTAAGTCAACCTTGTTGCCTAGCCTCTGCATCATCCTACTGCTGCACATGAAGACCTTGGAACACTATGACAACTCGGGGCTG